TCCGATGATCCGATGGTCTGCTGATCCGATGGTCCGATGACCCGATGGTCTGCGGCTCCGATGGTCCGATGGTCCGAGCATCCCATCTTGCATCAGCCGTTGCATCTCCACCAAAGCTGAGTCCTCGACCCCTGCACTGATGGCAGCTAGAACAACCCCACGATCGAGGTTGGGATATTTCGCAGCAACTTCTTTCGAGGCAGATGGCTGAGGCTTCTTCTTCAGGGCCCTGACCATCGGATCACCGGATGATCGGACCATCGGAGCCGCAGACCATCGGGTCATCGGACCATCGGATCATCGGATCACCAGATCATCGGACCATTGCCTAGGAAGGGCTTCCCTCACACCCGTCGCCGAGGAGGATGCAGACATGCCAGACGCCCCAGGAAGGGCTTCCCTCACACCCACTGTGAGGGACCCCTCGCTGAGGAGGATGCAGACGTGCCAGACGCCATCGGATCACCGACGGAGTCCGACACATGGTCCGGCAGCCTGGGCCGCCGCAAAAATATGAGCCAAGCAGCCAAGCCAAAACAAGAATGGACCAGGGGGGTGAACTACCCAATCTTTGGGAATCCAGAGGGGAGACGTAGGCTCCTTGTGCCCTCTAGAAAGGCCCAACGCCCAACGCCTTAACTTAACCATAATTAGGCCACTGGCCCACTGTCTTGACACAAGACGCCGACGCCGCCTAAGTAGAGCCCCCATGCTCACGCTGACCTTCCCTGTTTTTGATTTTTGCATTCACGACTTGGCTTGGCGGTTTCACCTTGCCAGTCTGCTGCTGCTACTCTGAAACGCCCCACGGCCCGGCGTCCTTGAAATAAACATAGAAATAGAATTGAATCGGTAGCTGCCTGATGCCTACCAGCAAACGAGTTTTTATATAGTTGACCCTGTCATCACATTATAGGCCGCACGACAAAAGCTGGGCTGGCATCATGTCACTTGCAGTAAAACTCCAGCTTCCGCTGATTTTTTTTTGGTCCTCTTGCGCTTTGTGCGGAGCTTTCTCGCCTCTTCTTTGGTTGACCGTCCTTGTCAGCTTTGCCAGCAAGGATGTCCCACGCTGTCCCAGATGCCGATACTCTGTGCTGCCCCAGCCACTGGAATTGTGGCGCATCGACCAAAAAAGGTCTCTCAGGATGCGGCAAAACACGGCTAGCACGCCATTTGGTGCAAGCCAGCAACACACTCATGATCACTCCGACGGTTGGCACAGATATAGTGTTTCCCGCAATGCGGTTCAGATCCATGTCCTAGCGCAGAAACGAACAAAGCAAACGTACACATTGATCACCGACTCTGCATTTGTGATGCGGTCTTCAGGCTCCTTGACGGAACACAGTTCACCATTGTGATATCCTGATGCGATGATCCTTCCCAAGGGAAATCCTTGGCCATAAAGAAGTTCCAGACCTGTGACAGGACGTGCCCTGCTTACATGCCACATTCTATGGCCTTTCAGCAAACATGGGAGGATCGAATAGTGATCGCGTCCCTTCCAGCATTGGAATGAGACATTGTTTGTCAGGTCCCACAGCAAGGGAGGAAGCTCGGCGCCCGGGTCCAGAACGCATGTCTGAAGCCTCACCACTGACAGTCTCTCTCCAACTCAAAACCGTCCATTCCAACTTTTTGTAAAACAACAGAGTCAGAGACAGAGACTCAAACATTCCAGCAGAATCCAGATGAGGGGCACCCATGAATGGAAATAAAGAAGGTCTTGCTCTCCGGGCGGCAAGCATCGACTGTACTTGGACGCATATCTGCGGAATAACTCTTCTGGAGATGGCACCTCAAACGACAATGAAGCCCGTTCGCTGGGTTGCAAGCAGTATATGTTTGACACTGGTTTCAAACGGCTGTTTCATTCAATCATTCATGCAAATCAAGCAGCTTGTTTGCCTAAAAGCTCAGAAACATTGGATTTTGCATCCACATGTTTCTGGTGGCATTTGGGCCATGTGGTTCCTTTCTTCATGCTGTCGATGATTTCTTGATCTGTCAGCCTGGGAGTGACAAAGCTCAGCTTAGCTTGAGTGACAAGATTCAGGGCCAGGGGATGGTTGATCAGAGAACCGAAAGCGCTGCCGGAAGCATTCATGGATTCAATTGTGCACTGCACTGCACTGTGTTTGGCCTCTTCTTGGACTCGAGGTTCTTGAGAAACTCCTGCACCCTGCAGTCGTTGTCATCTAGCATGCAGCCTCAGCATTCATGACAGGCAAAGCAACACAAGGTCACAAGGCCATAAAGGGCTCCTTCTCACCTCATGGCCTCATGGTGTCGCAGCGCTGTAAAAGTCTACCTACCCAGAGGAATCCAACACTAAGGCAAGTCACTGCAAAATTTAGTGCGGTTGGATTTTTCTGAAATTTCCTGCGCAGTCAGGTGATGTATTTTGTGTTGCTTCGTTTAAGCGCACACATGCACAGGTCACAGGACTACTACTCATTGACTGAACTGGCCTCAAGATAGTTGGCCCATTTGGATGGATCTTCGGTGAGCTCAAGCTGGGACGGGTCGACGGCCACCACAAAGAGTCTTGTTCGGCTCTGGCAGACTCCCATTGCTGCACTATTGACGAAGAAGCCACGGACCTCATAGGTCAGCTTCCTCAATTCACGGACCAGGACTCGCTCTGTATTCTTTTTGGCCACATTCTCCAGGACGACAAAAGCCTCAGGGTCCCCGTCTCAACCCTTCATAAATTATTCGATTTCTTGCAGACACACATGGTCACATCACATGGTAATATTAAGACTGAGGCCCCAGCCGGTCGGTATTTCCGTATGTATTCAAGGCTTTTGGAAAGTGTTTTGGAGCTTTTGCCCGACCTGCAGCAAAATCACTTCCAATGCGGAGGAGGGTGGAGCAAAAACAATACGACTGAATCTAACAAACAGCTGCTCATCTGCTAATGGACTGAGCTACATTGCTACATGTACACCCAGGCAAGCTGTACTGAACTGTAGCGAAGGAACTCCGGCTTGATATTCAGATCTAGTGTCTTTCTTTTTGTGTTCATGCCACTTAGGTCCTGCGCTAGTGGCGAAGCTAAGCAGCAAAACTGCACTGCAAACTGCAAACTGAGTCCTGACATTCAAATCCACCAGTGTAGAAATCCACGTGGGGCACCTTCTTCTTGGTGCCCGCCGGCTGTGAGCGGTTACTGAGGGCACCGTCAACAGTCACAAACTAGTAACTAGTCAACTGTCAACTAGTTGGAATGCTGTTGATGATGAATCATGGCTGAGGCCAAGCCAATTGAGGTGTTCACCAGAAGGTCATCGAAGATGATTTGAGGCTCCAGATTCAGCTTGAGCATGATCTTTTGAGGCCATCCTTCTTTCCCTGGTGCTTCTGAGCTGAACACGTAGTCAACCTTCAGGACAAAAGTGCCCATTAAGTTAATTACAAATTTGGAAAGCTGTCAGCAAAATCAGGCCCGCCTTCTCTGCCAGAATTTGGCGAGCGGCCCACAAAGGGGCATCGATGCCGGAGCAATCACTACCATATGTCAAACCACTGTGCTCCCGACGTAGCTCATTCAGCCGATCAGATCCCAACACTGCTGCAACTGTGTGTACCCATTGGTCAACCTGTGGGTCATCATGGACACAGAATGAATGACTCACAAAACGTACTAAGTACTAAGTACTAGTACTAAGTAGTACTAACTAACAGACGTGAGGTGACCGTGACCATTGTCATTATCAAACCTTACCCGCTACATCCCGCGCCGCTACCCATGGTCTCAACAGAATCTTGCCCCCCGCTGGTGTTCCTACTACCCTGGCCCTGACATGACTTGACTTGACTGACAAATGGGAAGAGAAAAACATCTGCCTGAGGCGGACCTTCTGCCAAAGACGTCTTTCTGGAAAGGCGGCGGGCGTGTGCCCCCTGTCGGGGCGGGCACACCTTTTGACTCCGGCTCGGACTCACACCAGTCCTCCCAATCGCCAGATCCCAAATGTTTCTCCTCAGTCAACACTCAATGACTCAAGACTCAAAACCAAACAAAGCGCCAGGATCAACATTGCCAACACCCAGCATTAGCAAACACCACTGCCACTGACTCACTAACTTGCCAATAGCCTTGGGCGAGACTCTCTGAGGCCCTGAAGTGCATTCTCATCGCACCAGTCCCTCCACTCTTTGGCCACAGCATCTAGCTTTGCCAAGCCATCAAAGGAATCTACCCGCTGCAATGGCGACTCACCACTATAGTCGATTGTCTCCTCCTGATGCTGGCAGCGACATGAAACTGGAATCGCACAAGGAAA